GCCTTTGCGGTCTATTTTCCTTTGCTTTTATTTTCATATATATGAAACCAAAAATACAAAAATACCTTGCTGCAATTTATTTTATTTGGTGTTCGATCTATCATTATTTACAACCTTCTCCCGTCCACATGCCAATTTATGGCGTCGTTACCCGAAAGGGATTGACAACCCCTTTTACACGTCGGGTTGCGGGTATTTGTTATTTGTGTGAAGGTGTTGTTTACGTTGTGTTGCTTAGTTCTCCTACTGGTTCGATAACCTTGGTTTCATATCTGAGGGAAATACCTACCGCCGCTATGCTGCATCATCCCTTCCTCTTTGGGGAAATACCGATGTAGCTTCAAGGGACATCAAGTAGTTTTCAATGGTGGACATCTCTATGTTGATCATATCTACTATATGATTCACGTTTGACCTTTCAGTCTCAGTGTTCCGAGGCCATATCTGCATATGCTAGGCTCGTCAAGTTTAATCCGAGTATTCTGCATGTGCAAAACTGGCTTGCACCCATTGTATGTGAACGTAGAGCTTATCACAGCTGATCTTCACGTGGTGTCTCGGCACGACGAACTGTAGCAATGGTGCATACTCAGGGAGAGAACTTATACCTTGAAATTTAGTGAGGGGTCATCTTATAATGCTATCGCCGAACTAAGCAAAATAAGATGCATAAAAGATAAACATCACATGCAACCAAAATATGTGACATGATATGGTCATCATCATCTTGTGCCTTTGATCTCCATCTCCAAAGCGCCGTCATGATCTCCATCATCACCGGCTTGACACCTTGATCTCCATCGTAGCGTCGTTGTTGTCTCGCCAACTATTGCTTCTACGACTATCGCTACCACTTAGTGATAAAGTAAAGCAATTACATGGCGATTGTATTTCATACAATAAAGCGACAACCATAAGGCTCCTGCCAATTGCCGATAAATTTTACAAAACATGATCATCTCATACAACAATTTATATCTCATTACATCTTGACCATATCACATCACAACATGCCCTGCAAAAACAAGTTAGACGTCTTCTACTTTGTTGTTGCAAGTTTTACGTGGCTACTACGGGCTTCTAGCAAGAACCGTTCTTACCTACGCATCAAAACCACAATGATTTTTTCTCAAGTGTGTTGTTTTAACCTTCAACATGGACCGGTCGTAGTCAAATTTAATTCAACTAAAGTTGGAGAAACAGACACCCGCCAGCCACCTGTGTGCAAAAGCACGTCGGTAGAACCGGTCTCATGAACGTGGTCATATAATGTTGGTCCGGGCCACTTCATCCAACCATACCGCCGAATCAAAATAAGACGCTGGTGGTAAGCAGTATGACTATTATCGCCCACAACTCTTTGTGTTCTACTCGTGCATATCATCTACGCATAGACCTGGCTCGGATGCCACTGTTGGGGAACGTAGCATGCAATTTCGAAAAATTTCCTACGATCACGCAAGATCTATCTAGGAGATGCATAGCAACGAGAGGGGGAGAGTGTGTCCACGTACCCTCGTAGACCAAAAGTGGAAGCGTTAGTATAACGCGGTTGATGTAGTCGAACGTCTTCATGATCCAACCGATCTTAGTACCAAACGTACGACACCTCCATGTTCAGCACACGTTCAGCTTGATGACGTCCCTCGAACTCTTGATCCAGCAGAGGGTCGAGGGAGAGTTCCGTCAGCACGACGGCGTGATGACGGTGATGGTGATGTGATCCGCGCAGGGCTTGGCCTAAGCACTACAACGCTATGACCGGAAGAGTAAGCTATGGAGGGGGGCACCGCACATGGTTAAGAGAACAATTGATGTGCCTTTGGGGTGCCCCCGCCCCCGTATATGAAGGAGGAGAAGAGGAGGAGGCCGTCTAGGAGGGGGCGTGCTATGGGGGGAGTCCTACTAGGACTCCACTCCTAGTAGGATCCCCCCCCCTTTCATTTCTTCACCGAAGGGAAAAGGAAGGAGAGGGAGAGGGAGAGGAAAGGGGGCCGCGCCCGCTCCTCCTTGCCCTATTCGGACTCCCTAGGAGGGGGCGCGCGCCACCACCCCCCTCCCGCGGGCTTCCCTCTCTCTCCCTTAGGCCCATGTAGGCCCAATACTTCCCCGGGGGGTTCCGGTAACCCATCGGTACACCAGTAAAATACTCGAACCACTCGAAACCATTCCGATGGCCGAATACTACATTCCAATATATGAATCTTTACCTCTCGACCATTTCGAGACTCCTCGTCATATCTGTGATCTCATCCGGGACTCCGAACAAACTTTGGTCACCAAAACACATGACTCATAATACAAATCGCCATTGAACGTTAAGCATGCGAACCCTACGGGTTCGAGAACTATGCAGACATGACCGAGACACATCTCCAATCAATAACCAATAGAGGAACCTGGATGCTCATATTGGTTCCCACATATTCTACGAAGATCTTTATCGGTCAAACCGCAATAACAACATACGTCATTCCCTTTGTCATCGGTATGTTACTTGCCCGAGATTCGATCGTCGGTATCATCATACCTAGTTCAATCTCGTTACTAGCAAGTCTCTTTACTCGTTTTGTAATGCATCATCCCGCAACTAACTCATTAGTCACATTGCTTGGAAGGCTTATAGTGATGTGCATTACCGAGAGGGCCCAGAGATACCTCTCCGATACTCGGAGTGACAAATCCTAATCTTGATATATGCCAACCCAACAAACCCCTTCGGAGAGACCTGTAGAGCATCTTTATAATTACCCAGTTACATTGTGATGTTTGATAGAACACAAGGTGTTCCTCCGGTATTCGGGAGTTGCATAATCTCATAGTCAAAGGAATATGTATAAGTCATGAAGAAAGCAATAGAAATAAGACTTAACGATCATTATGCTAAGCTAACTGATGGGTCTTGTCCATCACATCATTCTCTAATGATATGATCCCGTTCATCAAATGACAGCACATGTCTATGGTTAGGAAACTTAACCATCTTTGATTAACGAGCGTGTACTAAGTTTCCGGTTAATACAATTCTAGCATGAATAATAAAAATTTATCATGATATAAGGAAATATAAATAACAACTTTATTATTGCCTCTAGAGCATATTTCCTTCAGCATGACATTTGAATGGAGAGTATGTGGCAACTCGACATATTATTAATATAATAACATGCATAGTTCTTAGACATAGTACAAGTGAAGTGAAATTTCTCAAACATCATGTCGATCAAAATAGTACAACAAAAGCATTTGAGTGCTCTTATTATTACAAACTCATGTTACAAGATCATAAACAAGCTCCAACCAGAATATCTTACCAAGGATCTGGTGTCAAGCTAAATGTAACTGGCTTGGAAGCCCCTGGAGAAAAGCTAGCAGAGGTTCCAAACACCTTCAAATATTTGAACGGTCGAGAGCATGATTTGGAATCAGACAAAAAGTGCTAGAAAGTATGAGGTGAAAGCAGAGGAGTGGTCCTGAACAGAAAATGTGACTCCTTTTCTTTTGCAAGATTTCAACATACTCGAAAGTACCAAGTAAATCTGAGTGCTCAGAAGTACTGTAGTAGACAAAGTAGCTGTAATAAAGAGATTGTGTAGAAAAGGCCTAACCCACTACTCGAAATTATCGGATGAAAAAATGCGGTGGTACCCAAACTTATATTGTAAGTGCATAGAGAATCAAACCAAGAATGACTCAAAAACATCGGTTGAAATGTTTTGCTCAAAGATGTCGGAGCTAACAAAGAAATGTTTAACTCTATGAGGTCAGTTTTCTTTTGACGAATAACCAGGGGAGAGTTCTCCCAACTGAATATATTGATTTGGCTGATCCACTTTAAAGGGAAACCAAATCAAAAACCAAAACAAGTTTGTCTCATTACAGGAAACTAGGCCGAAAATCACACGGCCTGAGGGGAAATACAACATGTCGAAGCAAGAACAAGGAAAACACAAAAACACCCCATACATAGGACACAATGCAAGGGTCAACATCCTTAGAAAATAGGTGGTTGGGTGGAGTAGCACAAATTATGCTGCAAGCACGTAAAAGGCAACACTAGGGCAAACTCAGAGGTCCCCGAGAGAACACACCAATGTAGCAACGTCGAAACCACTAATATAGGATAACACAGGGTTCCACCACCAGGGAGTTGCATCATTGCTAGCCCTGAACCATCCAATACCCAACATTGGGGTGGTCTTGCCAGTGGCGAGGTGAGAACAACAGAGGAAGACGCTGGCTCAGCGAGCATGTACAAAGAGAATGCCAATTCACCAACTCGAGGGGTTGGTGGGAAGTAGTGGAGGAATGACATGCTCGTGGAGGGGCCTCGGAAGAAAATATCTCTACCGGGACTAGTCATAGTCCATGGCCGAGTGTAAATAGAGGACACACAGAACCACAAGTTGGCGAGGGCAAAGCACCCAGGCAGAGCGCAGACAGGGTATTGTAGGAAGCTCACATGTCGAAAAGAAGAGATCCGAGTTGCAGAGAGAGAGGGGGGGGGAGAGATCGTCACGAAGGGTAGCAATAGGCAGCACTGCGGCATCAAAGGCCCCTCCATCGGACCACGAGAGAACACCGGCAAAGACAGAAAGACAGACAGACGTGGTAGAGATGGTCACTCTACAACATGAAGCAATGCTTGTGCCAAGTTCAACACACATCACCGTTGACCCCAAGCCGGTTCGCACCACGACCACTAAACACACCTCTGACCACACGTGTAGCAACGGTAGATGTCGTTTAGGTCTCTAAGATGACGCCTCCAAAAAGGAAGTGATGACGTGGACACATTGCCATCATCCGATCCGATCAGATGTGGAGGACACGCCTCCAAGGAAGTGATTAAACACCGTTATTTATGAAAGGCAGCAACCCTAAGTGCCAGGTAATAGGGGAGTAGGATCTTCGAAGGTACTTTGGCTTGCCCATCGGAAAACGCGAGTAAAGTAGATCAAAAGGAGCTAAAACTAGAAGAAGAAGAAAAAGAGAAATGCATGGAAATCTCCCACAACACCCCTCTTCCTCCTGCTATAAAATCCCCTGCCTCCAACCTCACGGCACAGCGGCGCCACTCTCCGTTCTCGGTTCCATTGGCTCCTCGTCCTCGCCTGATCGCAAGAAGCAACATGGTACGGCACTCTCGAGTCAGAATAACACTGCTACATGACGATTTTGCTGCTGTTTGTGCATCGCGGTGTAGTGATCGGGTTGGTCTCGATGTTATTGTAACGGTACGTGGGCGTGCGCAGGTTTCTACCGGCGGCTTCGGCGACAATGGCGGCTGCGAAGGTCTGGTGGTGGATTTCAAGGGCAGGCCGGTGGACAAGTCCCGCGTCGGCGGATGGTTCGGAGCCGGCCTCATCCTAGGTACGTATATATGCTAGTCGTGTACCGGTGTACGTGCAGTAGTACACAGAGTCAGGGAGCAGTGATCGATCCCGCCGAAGTTGCAGGTGATGCAATGTTTTTGCTCATCGCTATGTGGTTTTTGCCGTCTCAGTCACGGAGCTAGCGGAGCGGGTGTGCGTGATGGGCATCTCGATGAACCTGGTGACGTACCTCACCGGCGACATGCACCTCTCCAGCGCCAAGTCGGCCAATATCGTCACCAACTTCATGGGCACGCTCAACCTCCTCGCCCTCCTCGGCGGCTTCGTCGCCGACGCCAAGTTCGGCCGCTACCGCACCATCGCCGTCTCGGCAACCATCACCGCCGTCGTAAGCAGCACACCAACATAGCCGCCATTATTGCACATGTATGTACGTACGTGGGCGCGCGCGTCTGATATTGCACTACTGCTCCATCGATTATTTCAGGGCGTGAGCCTGCTGGCGGCAAGCACGGCGGTGCCAGGGATGCGGCCCCCGCGGTGCGCCGCGGCGGCAGGCTACGAGGCCCGGCGCCGTGCGGCCGGGTGCGTGCCGGCGAGCGGCGGGCAGCTCGGGATGCTGTACGCGGCGCTGTACACGATCGCGGCCGGCGCGGGCGGGCTGAAGGCGAACGTGTCCGGGTTCGGGACGGACCAGTTCGACGGGCGCGACCCGCGGGAGGAGCGGGCCATGCTCTACTTCTTCAACCGCTTCTACTTCTGCATCAGCCTCGGCTCGCTCTTCGCGGTCACCGTGCTGGTGTACGTGCAGGACAACCTCGGCCGCGCCTGGGGGTACGGCGTGGCGGCCGCCGCGATGGCCGCTGCGGTGGCGGTGTTTGCCGCCGGCGCGTCGAGGTACCGGTACCGCAGGCCGCAGGGAAGCCCGCTCGCAGTGATCGGCCGCGTGCTGTGGGGCGCGTGGCGGAACCGGAGGCTGCCGTGCCCGGCTGATGCTAGCGAGCTCCACGGCTTCCGCGAGGCCAAGGTGTCACACACGGACAGGCTTAGGTATTACTCATCTCTTTTTCTTTTTTTTTTCTTTTTTTGAGAAAACTTTGGGTTTTGCTAAACTTCAGGTGCCTGAAATTTTTGTTGGCTTCAGTCACTTTTCTTTCTTCTTCCCGGGCGAGAGAGATGGAAGGGCAGACGCCGGAGAAGAAGCAACCTAGCCCCACTATCTATCTTAGAGGTGCGGGGTAGAGGGGGTTCATCGGAGTTGTTCGCCGTGAGGGGCTTAGAGGGATGGCCAGAGCGGCGGCCCGCAACAACGGTGGGTGGAGATTGAGGGGAGGGCGGGGTGGCGAGGCGGTGCGCGGAAGCGCCCGCTGGCCGAGGGTGGTGGAGGCGGGCGGTTGGGGCGGGGCAAGATGGGGGGCATGCGGAAGGAAGAAGAGAGAAGGAAGGAAGAGTATGAACAATAATAGATCTATTTTGGACGGTTGGATGAAGATCGGACGGTCCATATAAAAAATGACGGGTGAATCCCTTTTTCTGTCAACTGATAATAGAGGCTTTCAAAAATTTCTGATTTATTCATCAACTGTTATAGTACAAAGAACAACAGAAACAGAAAAAATTACATCTTGGTTCGTAGACCACTACTCCTTTCATTTGGCTTGGTTGTGTCCCTTTGCGCTAACTAGGATGAGACATTTGGTTTTCTTGAACTTCTATCACCAGATTCACGTAGTCACGTACTACACTTATGCATGAGACATGCTCTGGTTTTGGATTCTACTGGATGAAATGTGACAGAGGGTTTGATGCACGTAGCTATTCATGAAAGGCGTCTAATAAAATCAGAAATAGAAAAAAGTGTGTGCTTTTCATCCGGTAAGTGGCTAAGGAAGTAACTTAATTCTCAAAAAAAGAAAAACAACTAAAATTAATGAACAAGCAAGAGAAGCTATTGCCGACACTCCCTCCGTTTCTATATATAAATCTTTGTGAAGATTTCATTATAAACTACATACAAAATAAAATGGGTGAATCTACCCTTTAAAATACATGTAAACCCTTGGCTGAAAAAAAGGGGAACCAACATGGCATATACTGTACGTACCAGGAACCAATCCAAGAATCGAAACTAGTGCATCTTTTAGGTGAACTTTTTTTAGAAGCAATTTTTAAGCAACCATGCAGAACTACCTACGTGGAGACACAACGCATCTTAGCGTGACACGCCCTTTGTCCAAAAGCCAAAACCAGTTAACTACTTTACGACGTGTCAGATCGGTCGGATGAGGGTGATGATTCGGCGTGATATCACATCTTGGACGAATGGCGTCCGAAAGTCAGGATCATGTGCTACACAAACGCAACAAAGCCATGCAGAACTTTTGCTTGCAGCTAGGCACTTGGAGATGGACACCGAAGGAGCTAGGCCAACATGCCATGCAAATCCACCTCCAAACGAACGGCACCACTAGTGCGTGCTGTGCTTGCCTATTTGGTGACATTTCGGTGGCCAATTTCCGAGGCATTTCTAGAGCACTGCCGGCATGGTGCAATGCATGCACACTGTCCATGTCTTGCAGATCGTGGACAAAAGGAGCCATAGGTCGAGTTGCGTGGTGGAATGATCTGCATTATTGCACATGCTATCTGGCTAGGATATACGCAAGTTCGCGGTGACAAAATGTGGACCGTTCTCTTTCTCTGTATGAACAGGTGTCTGGACAAAGCGGCCATCGCGGAGGCCGATCCGGCGACGGCGGTGACGGTGACGGAGGTGGAGGAGGTGAAGATGGTGGTGAAGCTTCTCCCCATGTGGTCCACGTGCATACTCTTCTGGACCATCTATTCCCAGATGACCACCTTCTCCATCCAGCAGGCCGAGCAGATGGACCGCCGGGCCGGCAGCCACTTCGTCGTCCCGGCGGGCTCGCTCTCCGTCTTCCTCTTCCTCTCCGTCCTGCTCTTCACCGCGCTCAACGAGCGCCTCCTGGTCCCTCTGGCGGCCCGGCTCACGCGGCGGCCGCAGGGCCTGACCTCCCTCCAGCGCGTGGCCGCGGGGCTCGTCCTCGCCACGCTCGGCATGGCCGTCTCCGCACTCGTCGAGAAGAAACGCAGGGACGCCTCCAACGGCAGCGGCGGCGTCGCTGTGAGCGCGCTCTGGCTGGTGCCGCAGTTCTTCCTGGTGGGCGCCGGCGAGGCGTTCGCGTACGTGGGGCAGCTGGAGTTCTTCATCCGGGAGGCGCCCGAGCGGATGAAGTCCATGAGCACGGGCCTGTTCCTGGCGACGCTGGCCATGGGGTTCTTCCTGAGCAGCCTCCTCGTGCTCGCCGTCGACGCCGTCACGCGGGGCGCGTGGATACGTGGCCACCTGGACGACGGGAGGCTGGACCTCTTCTACTGGATGCTGGCGGTGCTCGGGCTGGCCAACTTCGCGGTGTTCTTGGTGTTCGCTAGCCGGCACCAGTACAAACGCACCAGGCCGGACGCGGCGACCGTGGAGGTGCATTGAGGCTTGAGAGGCCAAGCAGCGGGTGGAGGAGGACGCTGTCAAGGAGATCGTGAAAGTGAAAGAGATGGACGTGTAGGGCGCTAGGAAGCGTGTGCCACTGCTGCGTACAACTACTTGGCAGCGTTGGGGTTTGCGGCGTACGTGCACTGCTGTTTGTGTCTCTGACGTTTTCTGGAAAAGAAAATTGGTTGCGTGTAGTGCTATCAGTCGACTCGTAGCTAGCGTTCGTTGCCATCGTGTTCACTCGCTTGCTTGTGTGTTTGCATTTTCTTTTTCAAATGACATGTAACTTTATTCAAACTTGACAAAAATTATAAGGACAATGCTTCAGATCATAGATTTCTCTACTTCTATAAAAGACCCAGTTGGTGATGATGATGTGTCTGTCATACGTCATTTCTGACCATTATATCTGCATCTAACAGCTGTGAGGTAAGTTATGGCATTTTTGCAACAATAGACCACTTCTCTGCTGTACTTGGGACCCGAACACAGCCTCTTCCCCAAGAAAAGTCTAGGGTTCCCCTACCTCCCGCCGGCGCCGCCATCGGTCCGCCTCCTCTCCCGTGGTCTTAGGGCCATGGCGGCGTGGTGGATCTCGGCCCTTGTCGACGAGAGGGCTCTGTTTTCAGTTGTTTTTTCGTATTTTGTTAGGGTTTGTGTCCTGCTCAGGAAGACGAGACGGCGACGGCTCCCTGAAGATAGAATAAGGTTCTCCCCGCCTAGCCCCCGCCCCGATGGTGTGTCTAGCATCGTCGGTGGGCGTGTGGAGATGTGTCTCCGGCGGATCTATCCTTGGTGGATTTGTTCGGATCTGGCCGTAGTCCGTCTACGTTCATGTGTTTTCAGGTTGGATCATTCTGATCTACGCTACTCTTCATCGGCGGCGGTTGCTGTGCTGCTGCGCTGGTCCTACGGGGCCTTAGTGTTGGGGAACGTTGCAGAAAATTAAAAAAAATTCTACGGTTTCACCAAGATCCATCTATGAGTTCATCTAAGCAACGAGTCAAGGGAGAGAGTTTGCATCTACATACCACTTGTAGATCGCGTGCGGAAGCTTGCAAGGTGATGATGTAGTCGTACTCGACGTGATTCGAATCACCGATGACCAAGCGCTGAACGGACAGCACCTCCGCGTTCAACACACGTACGGGACGGGAGACGTCTCCTCCTTCTTGATCCAGCAAGGGGAAGGAGAGGTTGAGGAAGACAGCTCCACCGGCAGCACGACGGCGTGGTGATGGTGGAGAAGCAGTACTCCGATAGGGCTTCGCCAAGCACACGGAGGAGGAGAGGTGTTGGGGAGGGGAGGGCTGCGCCTTGGAGGGTGGTTTGCCCCCCAAGCCAAGGGGGGCGCCCCCTCTAGGGTTCCCCCCTCAACCCTAGGCGCAAGGGCCCAAGGGAGGGGGTGCGCCCAGCCCACCAGGGGCTGGATCCCTGCCCCACGCAGCCCATGTGGCCCCCCGGGAGGGGTGGCCCCTCCCGGTGGACCCCCGGTACCCTTCCGGTGGCCCCGGTACAATACTGGAATGACCCCGAAACTTCCCGGTGTCCGTTTGACAACTTCCCATATATAAATCTTTACCTCCAGACCCTTCCGGAGCTCCTCGTGACGTCCAGGATCCCATCCGGGACTCCGAACAACATTCGGTAGTCACATACTAGTCTTCCTAATAACCCTAGCGTCACCGAACCTTAAGTGTGTAGACCCTACGGGTTCGGGAGACATGCAGACATGACCGAGACGCTCTCAGGTCAATAACCAACAACGGGATCTGGATACCCATGATGGCTCCCACATGCTCCTCGATGTTGTCATCGGATGAACCACGATGTCGAAGATTCGATCAAACCCTGTATACAATTCCCTTTGTCAATCGGTACGTTACTTGCCCGAGACTCGATCGTCGGTATCCCAATACCTTGTTCAGTCTCGTCACCGGCAAGTCACTTTACTCCTACCATAATGCATGATCCCGTGTCCAACACCTTGGTCACATTGAGCTCATTATGATGATGCATTACCGAGTGGGCCCAGAGATACCTCTCCGTCATACGGAGTGACAAATCCCAGTCTCGATCCGTGTCAACCCAAAAGATACTTTCGGAGATACCTGTAATGCACCTTTATAGTCACCCAGTTACATTGTGACGTTTGATACACCCAAGGCACTCTTACGGTATCCGGGAGTTACACGATCTCATGGTCGAAGGAAGAGATACTTGACATTGTCAAAGCTCTAGCAAAACGAACTACACGATCTTTTATGCTATGCTTAGGATTGGGTCTTGTCCATCACATCATTCTCCTAATGATGTGATCCCGTTATCAACGACATCCAATGTCCATAGTCAGGAAACCATGACTATCTGTTGATCACAACGAGCTAGTCAACTAGAGGCTCACCAGGGACATATTGTAGTCTAAGTATTCACACGTGTATTACGATTTCCGGATAATACAGTTATAGCATGAATAAAAGACTTTTATCATGAACATTGAAATATAATAATACTTTTATTATTGCCTCTAGGGCATATTTCCAACAGTCTCCCACTTGCACTAGAGTCACCAATCTAGTTACATTGTGATGAATCGAACACCCATAGAGTTCTGGTGTTGATCATGTTTTGCACGCGAGAGAGGTTTAGTCAGCGGATCTGCGACATTCAGATCCGTGTGTACTTTGCAAATCTCTATGTCTCCATCTTGAACATTTTCACGGATGGAGTTGAAACGACGCTTGATGTGCCTGGTCTTCTTGTGAAACCTGGGCTCCTTAGCGAGGGCAATAGCTCCAGTGTTGTCACAGAAGAGTTTGATCGGCCCCGACGCATTGGGTATGACTCCTAGGTCGGTGATGAACTCCTTCACCCAAATCGCTTCATGCGCTGCCTCCGAGGCTGCCATGTACTCCGCTTCACACGTAGATCCCGCCACGACGCTCTGCTTGCAGCTGCACCAGCTTACTGCTCCACCATTCAACATATACACGTATCCAGTTTGTGACTTAGAGTCATCCAGATCTGAGTCGAAGCTAGCGTCGACGTAACCCTTTACGACGAGCTCTTCGTCTCCTCCATAAACGAGAAACATGTCCTTCGTCCTTTTCAGGTACTTCAGGATATTCTTGACCGCTGTCCAGTGTTCCTTGCCGGGATTACTTTGGTATCTTGCTACCAAACTTACGGCAAGGTTTACATCGGGTCTGGTACACAGCATGGCATACATAATAGATCCTATGGCTGAAGCATAGGGGATGACACTCATCTCTTCTTTGTCTCTTGCCGTGGTCGGTGACTGAGCCGAGCTCAGTCTCACACCTTGTAACATAGGCAAGAACCCCTTCTTGGACTGATCCATTTTGAACTTCTTCAAAATCTTATCAAGGTATGTGCTTTGTGAAAGACCTATGAGGCGTCTCGATCTATCTCTATAGATCTTGATGCCTAATATATAAGCAGCTTCTCCAAGGTCCTTCATTGAAAAACACTTGTTCAAGTAGGCCTTAATGCTGTCCAGGAGTTTCGTATCATTTCCCATCAAGAGTATGTCATCTACATATAATATGAGAAATGCTACAGAGCTCCCACTCACTTTCTTGTAAACGCAGGCTTCTCCATAAGTCTGCGCAAACCCAAACGCTTTGATCATCTCATCAAAGCGAATGTTCCAACTCCGAGATGCTTGCACCAGTCCATAAATGGATCGCTGGAGCTTGCATACTTTGTTAGCGTTCTTAGGATCGACAAAACCTTCCGGCTGCATCATATACAGTTTTTCCTTAAGATGCCCGTTAAGGAATGCTGTTTTGATGTCCATCTGCCATATCTCATAATCATAGTATGCGGCAATTTCTAACATGATTCGGACGGACTTTAGCTTCGCTACGGGAGAGAATGTCTCGTCATAGTCAATCCCTTGAACTTGTCGATAACCCTTAGCGACAAGTCGAGCTTTATAGATGGTAACATTGCCATCCGCGTCTGTCTTCTTCTTAAAGATCCATTTGTTTTCTATCGCTCGCCGATCATCGGGCAAGTCTGTCAAAGTCCATACTTTGTTTTCATACATGGATTCTATCTCGGATTTCATGGCTTCAAGCCATTTGTTGGAATCTGGGCCCGCCATCGCTTCTTCATAGTTCGAAGGTTCACCGTTGTCTAACAACATGATTTCCAGGACAGGGTTGCCGTACCACTCTGGTGTGGAACGTGTCCTTGTGGACCTACGAAGTTCAGTAGCAACTTGATCCAAAGTACCTTGATCATCATCATTGGTTTCCTCTCCAGTTGGTGTGGGCATCACAGGAACATTTTCCTGAGCTGCACCACTTTCCCGTTCGAGAGGTAGTACTTCATCGAGTTCTACTTTCCTCCCACTTGCTTCTTTCGAGAGAAACTCTTTTTCCAGAAAGTATCCGTTCTTGGCAACAAAGATCTTGCCTTCGGATCTTAAGTAGAAGGTATACCCGACAGTTTCCTTAGGGTATCCTATGAATACGCATTTTTCCGACTTGGGTTCGAGCTTTTCAGGTTGAAGTTTCTTGACATAAGCATCGCATCCCCAAACTTTTAGAAACGACAGCTTAGGTTTCTTCCCAAACCATAATTCATACGGTGTCGTCTCAACGGATTTAGACGGTGCCCTATTTAAAGTGAATGTAGCTGTCTCTAGAGCGTATCCCCAAAATGATAGTGGTAAATCGGTAAGAGACATCATAGACCGCACCATATCCAATAGAGTGCGATTACGACGTTCGGACACACCGTTTCGCTGAGGTGTTCCAGGCGGCGTGAGTTGTGAAACGATTCCACATTTCCTTAAGTGTGTACCAAATTCGTGACTTAAGTATTCTCCTCCACGATCTGATCATAAGAATTTTATCTTTCGGTCACCTTGATTCTCTACCTCATTCTGAAATTCCTTGAACTTTTCAAAGGTCTCAGACTTGTGTTTCATTAAGTAGACATACCCATATCTACTCAAGTCATCAGTG